ACCGCCCTGGAGGCAGATGAGCGGCAGATCACAACCCTCCTCCACTTATGGAAATAAACAGACGGACACTCACATCCCGCATGTGGGGACATGGTCCAGGAAAACCCCAGAAACTGTCACCTCCTCCCTCCCTCTGTCCCCATCCTTCCCATCCCCTACTCCACCCCCCAACCCCATTACAGAGAAGAGAAGGCTAGGTTCCCAAGGGAGAGCAGATCAGCCTTACTGGAAAAAATAGCTGTCCTTCTAGACCTCTCCCATCACAGGAAGACTTGCAGGAAGAAACGAGGAGTTTGTTCTAAAGCCAAAGGACTGGAATCCCAGGGTTGAGGGAAATTGCAAAGAACATAAATCTTGTGAGTGGATCCTGTCCCTCACCCATCCCGACCCTATAAGCTTTCATATTGCGGAGTGCCCAATATCCAAGTAGTTAGAAACATTCTCCTCTTGTTTGGAGCAAGAAGTCCACTCTCTCTGGCTCCATCAGAAGGCAACTCAGATATCTGAGAAGGCAGCTCTTCATTCCTTCCTGATAAATCATTTCATCCTGGGCTTCCCTGGTGGCTCAGGCTGTAAAGAATCTGCCTGCAATGGAGGAGACCAGGATTCACGCCCTGGATCAGGAGGATCCCCTGGAGAAGGGAATGGTAACCCACCTCAGTATTCATGCTAGCAGAACTCCATGGACAGAGGAGCCTGGCAGGTTACAGTCTATGGAGTCTCCGAGTCAGACATGACTGAGCAACACACACACACACACACACACACACACGTTATTTTATTCAAAGCACAGACATCAGAAAATTCAAACTGCTCCTTTGATTTCTATCAAAATACCCAAATATAAAGCCGCCGGGTCTCTCATCCCCAGCACATGCCCTTCTGCTTTCAGTCTTTCTCAAACATGGGCCCAAGGATTCCCACCCAACAAGCTACAGTCAGAACGTAAGGCGCCCACATAAGCAGAGTCTCCAGCAGCAGTTATCTCAGGGATGCCAAGTGCTCTTAGGAAGCTCCTCCGCAAACGAGTGTGTGGTTTATCCAGGCAAAGAAGCAGAGCCTCCCCTTGAACTTGCACACTGTTGATAGAGTCGATCAGAAGCAGCTCCTCCCCAGACAGCATCCTAAGCTTATAGCTGGCCTCCGTGAAAAACCTTCATGGATGATGACAAAGACAGTTAGGATGTTGAATGGTCTGTTTCTCCAGCTTTCTCTAACCTCTCTTCCTAAGACCAAGATTCTCCTGTTTCACAATTTGTCCAGATCCCTCCATTAGGTCTGAGAAGAAACTACAGTTGACCCTTGAACAACGCAGATTTGAACTGTAAGAGTCCACTTATACACAGCTGTTTTTCAACAGTAAATACTATTGGTGATTGGTTGTTGGTGGAATCTGGGGATGCAGAGAAACCATGGGCAGAGAGCCAACTGTAGGGGACTGAGAGTGAAAGTCGCTCAGTTGCGTCTGACTCTTGGCAACCCCACGGACTGTAACCCACCAGGCTCCTCTGTCCAAGTAGTTCTCCAGAAAGAATACTGGAGTGGGTTGCCATTCCCTTCTCTAGGGGATCTTCCCAACCCAGGGATCGAACCCAGGACCCCTGCATTGAGAGTGTGGCATCTTAGCCACTGGACCAGCAGGTAAGTTTCCCATGTTGATTTCTACCTTTAATGATCCCGGGATCTTCCCTCCTACCCTCATTGGGCAAATCTTAGTCCTTTTATTCCTAAAACAGAGCCCTCCTGGGTTCACGTCACTGAGATGCCCAGCTGTTCCCACAGTCAGATAGGCACAAAAAGTGACAGACTGCTCTTGACCTGAACTCTGCAACCTCCGTGAGCACAGGTGGACTCAGGGATGATGGGCCCTCCCCGAGGAGCCCCCAGCCAGCACTGCAGCACATTTAAGAGCCACCCTTGCATCCAATTTTCCTAAGAGTGTTGCAGAATCGGATTGCCACACACCTTGAAAGGTCTTTCAAGAGCCTGTTCAGTTGATTAGAGTACTGGATGACTTAGCAAAAGTCACACTTTTATTTCAACTGCATCTCATCCTGATGAAAAAGGCACAGCTGGAGCATGTGGGCATCATAACAGACTAGGAATGGTAAGATCTGAGTTCAGGGGCCCAGCTCCATCAGCCACCATACTCAGGAGTGCCTTGTTTTAGACTGAGGCCTCTAAGTGGAAACTCTCTTATTGGTTCAGACCCAGAGGCACCTATAAGTGGATATAAGTAGTCTTTAACTAGCTGCATCCCCTGGAAACTTTGAGTTCTTATTTCCTCAACCTTTAAATAAGAATAACAAGAATAACAAGCCCAGCCTGCCCACCATGCGGGCTGCTCTGCAAGCCGTGAGTTGATGAGTGAGAAAGCATCCTCTGCCCGGGGCATCTCTGTGCAGGGATGCGGCACACCTGCAGAGACGCTGCCCAGGGATTCAGCTCAAAGCACAGAGGCATTGTGAAATCCTGCAGTGGGGTCAAAATTAAGCACACCCCAGTTTTTCCCCTCAAATAGCTCGTGAGTGACATAAAAGGAGTAAAACTAACCTCTGTGCTGTTCAAAGTGAAAGGAGAAATAAGTAGGACACATCTGGACAGTGGGACAGAAAGAGGCTTACTTTAAGCCTCATGTATAAATTGTGTTTATAAAAATAAATGTTTATGTATATTTCATGTTATATACTATACATATTCCTTATATATTAATGTGTGTGTGCGCTTAGTCGCTCAGTGCTGTCAGACTCTCTGCAACACCATGGACTGTAGCCTGACAGGCTCCTCTGTCCAGGCAAGAAAACTGGAGTGGGCTGTCATTCCCTTCTCCAGGAGACCTTTCCAACCCAGGAATTGAACCCAGGTCTCCTGCATTGCAGGAGGATTCTTTCCCATCTGAGCCACCAGGGAAGCCCATATGTTAGTACATATGTATATTATAATGCATATATCACATGCATGATTATACATGATATGTAATGTGTAATACTATGTGTGCATGTGTGTCTATGTGTGTATATGTGTGTGTAGATGTGTATGAGTGTGTGTGTATGTGTGTATGGGCTTCCCTGATGGCTCAGATGGTAAAGAATCTGCTGCAATGCGGGAGACCCGGGTTCAACCCCTGGGTTCGGAAGATCCCCTGGGGAAGGGAATAGCAACCCACTCCAATATTCTTGCCTGGAGAATTTCACGGACAGAGAAGCCTGTCAGGCTACAGTCCATGGGATCACAAAGAATCAGACACAACTGAGCGACTAACACTTTTACACTTTCACATGTGTGTGCACACGTATAAGTGTGTGTGTGTATATGTATGCATATGCATGCATGTGTGTGCACGTATGTGTGTGTGTATGTGTGTAATGACTTCCACAGGAGGGATAAGGGAAGCAGAAGTAGAAAAGGTCCCCGGAGGCCAAAGCTGTACTGTGGGGGTGAAGGAGAACGGCCACAGGCAGACTTGATAGTCAGCTTCTTTTGACTAAAATCTGGCAACAACCCACTTCTTCCATGGATGGAGCCCAGGGTTAAAGCTCTGCAGGGAAATATCAGGGCTGGGACGGGGAGGGGAGGACATGGTGAGCATCTTCCTGGATGAGCATCCAAGCTGATACTGAGTGTGGCATGTGTACGAGGGAGCAGGTACTTGCTAAACAGTCTAAGACACATTTGGACGGCAGTGAGAAGGCTTCTGAAGATGGAAATCCCTGTGATGAAAAGGACAGGCACCATTATGTGACCGTAAAGGGTGTGCTGCCACCCAGACACCATTATATGACCTTTATATTGATACATATTCACTCAGTTCATCTGAGTAACAGCCCCCCATAATAAATGGTTCCAACTACTATGTGGATGAGTAGATAGCAGAGTCCATATTCTCAACCGCTACAGATGGTGAAGTTTTCTTAAGTTTTTTCTGCAGCATAATTATTGAGCAGCACATTCATTCCCTCGTTGCTGCACCCGCTGCACCCTCAAGCCTCACCACCAGCTGCCTCTTCATCAGGGCATGGCTCAACTTCTGTCTAATAGGAGTAAGGGCGGGTTCCATCTTTGGCCAGAATAAGGTAATGACCTCCCAGAAGGTCAGAGGTCCACACCTATCTCTTATGTCTTCCTCAACACAGGACACAGGGAAGATTCTCCCTTCACAAGTGGGTAAGAAACTAGGCTTTGACATAACAAACACGAATTTTAGCATCAGCTTTGCCTCTTATCAGTTGGGACTTTGGCAAACTATTTGATCTTCCTAAACTCTCTTATCCTCATCTGTGAAATGGATATAATAATAGACACCACTCACTGGGTAAAGCTTAGCACAGCGCCTGACACATAGTAAGACTCAATAAATGTTGGCTGTCATGAATAATAATTCCTTCTTCCCAGTCACTGATTGAGTCTCCCCTCTTAGAAGCTCATTCCCTCCCTTGTCTTCAGGCTTTCCTGGTGGCTCTGATGATAAAGAATCTGCCTGCCGTGCAGGAGACCCAGATTCGATCCTTAAGTCAGGAAGATTCCCCTGGAGAAGGAAATGGCAACCCACTCCAGTATTCTAGCATGGAGAATTCCATGGACAGAGGAGTCTGGTGGGCTACAGTCCATGGGGTTGCAAAGAGGCAGACACAACTGAGTGACTAACACTTTCTAACATTTCCCTTGTCTCCAACGATCGTCCTCAGTAAAGGGTGGCATCAGACTCTCCAACTGATCAAATTCCAATAGATCTCAAAGAAAGAGAAGGCACCCCGGGGGCATTAGGAAATGGGGAAGGTGCCTAGCAGAATGGAGAGAAAGAGTGGCATTTAGCAGGTTGGGTGCATGCATGCATGCTCAGTCCCATCTGACTCTTTGCTCTTTGCTTGGAAAATGCTGAGTTGACCGAAAAGTTCCTTGGCCAACCCAATATTTACATATGTAGGACAGCAGACTAAATCAATCCCATAAACAGACCAGCAAGGTGAGATATCCAAAATCACTTAGGAAATCACCGGTACCTCCGGATGGTTTCAGGTGGCTCTGCGCGGAGGGGAATCTGCTCGGCCAAGGCCAGGGTGTCCTGCAAGGTCTTGGTGACCTCCTGCAGCTCGCCCAGGGACAGTCCTCCCACGAGGTCGCAGCCCTGCCACGGGAGAAGCCGCTGCTGCTCCTCTATTTCCCATCTCAGCTGTTGATCTTTTGCTTCCAGAACAGACATCCTGGCTTGGAGGGTCTCAATTTCTTTCTGCGGAGAATGGAGAGAGCAGGTTTTGTAAATTAACCCCATTCATGGTCGACTACACTGCTGAGAACTCTCTCTTTACAGGAGAGTTTGCCACATGCATGAGAGCCATGACGCTCCCCTTCAAGGCGGGCAGATTTTTGGAGGTTTGCTGAACTGGAAAAATCAAGCCAGCTTTGTATTTCTGATTAGCTGGCATAAGGAAAAAGTTTCCCTCCCAAGCATTAAATAACTCTGGATGGTGAGCCAAGAATTAGACTTGGAAGAATCCAGCAAATATGTAAACTACTTACTTCATTTCAGGTGACAGAGCCAGAACACAGTGCAACAAGCTTCAGGGACTTGAGATACCAGCAAAGCAGCTAACACGACCGAAAAACAAAAAGCAAACAAGCCTTGGCTGGTCTGACCCCAAACATGCAAATGTAGCATGCAGAGAAAGATTAGAAGTCAGAGTTTCTTAAGTCTACAGGATTGAAAGAACAATGAGATGCCACAGATAGGGTTATGCAGTCTAAGGTTCATAAAAATATTAAATAAATTTAATTTCCACTAATATGACAAAGCAAATCCCAAGAATTGAGTATCATCCAATCTTGAGGTCAATGAACAAAATGAGCAGCAGGTTGCTCTGAATGCCCACTGTGCACACAGTGTTAAGGCAGATAATCGTCTCAGTGCCCATAGCATCCTCAATCTCTAATGAGACTCTTCTAATTAACATACGCCCAGGTTTCCTGCACTGGCTTCCAGCTGACAAAAGCACAGCTCTAATACTGGCTGTCTCCCCATCTCACCCACACCCTCGCAACCCCAAGGTGCCGACCATCCTACCTGATCTACCTGCTGACCCCTCCTCCAGTAGGGGAGGGAAGAGACACAGGAGGAGGTATTGAAGATCCACGGCTAAGACATCCTAAGAAGACAACAGCGTGTATCCCACTGGCCCAAGATTATAGTATCACTGACAGGGTCTCCCACCACACCTCCCTACTTCCTACCTTTGAATACCCATCCCTATTCTTTCCTTTTTTGTTTGGGTTTTTTTTCAACTATAGTAAAATATAGGTAATAGAAAACTTACCATCTTAACCATCCATCTCCAGGATTCTTTTCATCCTACCAAATTGAACTCTGACCCCCCTCTCTGCCTGCATTCAGCCTTGGAAGCCATCTTTCTAGTTTCTGTCTCTGTGAATCTGACTCCTCCAGGTGTCTATATGTGGAATCATACAGTATTTGTCCTTTTGTGGCTGGCTCATTTCACTTAGAATAATGTCCTCAGGGTCCATCCATGCTGTAGCATGTGTCAGAATTTTCTTCCTTTTAAAGGCTGAATTTATCATTGTATTTATATACCACATTTTGTTTATCCAGGCATCCCTGGTAGCTAAGCTGGTAAAGAATCTGCCTGCAATGCAGGAGACCCTGGTTCGATCCCTGGGTCAAGAAGATCCCCTGGAGAAGGGACAGGCTACTCACTCGAGTATTCTATCTGGAGAATTCCATGGACAGAGGAGCCTGGCAGGCCACAGTCCATGGGGTCGCAAGGAATCAGACAGAACTGAGCAGCTCGCACTTTGCTTATCCATTCATCTGTACACTTGGGTTGTTGCTTCCACCTTTTGACTATTGTGAATAATGCTGCTGTCGACACATTTTTGAGTCTCTGTTTTCAATTCTTTGGGGTCTTATACCCAGAAGTGAAACTGTTGAATCACATGGTAACTCAACTTCTAATTTTTTAAAGAACCACTATACTGTTTTCCACAGTGGCCCTCTACCCTATTCTCACACAGAAATCAAAATGACTTTATGAAATGTGGTCAATTACATCACTTCACTGGTCAACCAACCCCACTCCATTGCTCCCATTCCAGTCAGAGAAAAGCCCAAGACCTCACAAAGGCCTGCTAGGCACCCCCTTATCACTGATTTTCTCCTCTTCTCTCCCAGCATTGTGCCAAGAATGCCTCCTTCAAACACTCAGTATATGCATGTGTGCTAAGTCACTTCAGTCATATCCAACTTCGCAACCACCTCTGGACCGTAACCTGCTAGGCTCCTCTGTCCATGAGATTCTACAGGCAAGAATACTAGAGTGGGTTGCCATGCCCTTCTCCAGGGGATCTTCCCAACCCGGAGATCTAACCCACATCTCTCGTATCTCCTGCAGTGGCAGACAGGTTCTTTACCACTAGCACAACCTGGGAAGCCCTCAAACGCTAAGTAGCCTGGGCTAAAAGTATGTTCTGTACCCTCTGATATCACCAGGAATATTCACCTCCAGCTGGTGAATATTATCCAGAATCAAAAATCAGACTTCACATTTTCAGCTACCTGAACTTGCTCTACAAGTTTGCTCAACGTGGTGAGTTCAGAGTGTGAAAGCACCAGTTTACTGGAAAATATGTTCAAACTGGAGAAGGAAATGGCAACCAGTATTATTGCCTGGAGAATTCCATGGACAGAGGAGTCTGGTGGGCTACATGTATTCCATGGAGTTGCAGAGCCAGACACAACTTAGCAACTAAAAAAACATTTTCAAACCTCATGGCTCAGAGGGTAAAGAGTCTTCCTGCAATGCGGAAGCCCTGAGTTCGATCCCTGAGTCAGGAAGATACCCTGGAGAAGAAAATGGCACTCCACTCCAGTATTCTTGCCTGGAAAATCCCATGGACAGAGGAGCCTGGTGGGCTACAGGGCTAGACACAACTTAGCAACTAAAAAAACATTTTCAAACCTCATGGCTCAGAGGGTAAAGAGTCTTCCTGCAATGCGGAAGCCCTGAGTTCAATCCCTTGCACTCCACTCCAGTATTCTTGCCTGGAAAATCCCATGGACAGAGGAGCCTGGTGGGCTACAGGGCTACAGTCCGTAGGGTCGCAAAGAGTAGGACACAATTGAGAGATTTCACTTCACTTTTTTCAAATTGCAATGATGTTTGCCTCCCTTTGCTGCCTTGCTATCATATGGAATTGGAAGGGTAAACTCATAACAAGAAGACTCTGCATGGGAGTTGGGGGTTTCCAGTAACCTCTCCACGCCCCATTCACTTGTCTAAGGCCACTCGGCTGTTTAGAGGCTAAGCCACACTGTGGACACACGTGTTAAAGAGCTCTGCGTTTTCCAGAAGTCTGTGTTTCCTCACTGCTCCCCAGTCAGGCTTAAAATCCTCTAGGCTTGGGAAGGTGTGGACAGAACTTCAAGGCTCCTTGCTTCTGAGGGGCCCTGTCAACTTCTGGCTATAACTCAGAGTTGCACCAAGATTTCCAGCCCCCCAAGATTCTCAGCCAACTTGCATCCACTGCTCCGGGACAATCCAGAGCTCCCATGAAGCCCAGTCATTCCCAGTGTTTCCCAGTTCCGCCCGCCTTGCCCAGTCCCCACTCACAGCTCTGCCTCCTAACAGTTGCTACCCACAGTCCAATCTGATAGCAGTTTCCATAAAGGATGGCCACAGCTCAGATTTTATTTTTCTGCCTTCTGAAATAAACTTCTCAAGGACAAAATGATAAGAGGTGACAAATTGGCTTGGCACACAAGGAAGGCATATTCAAAAGATAAAGCGTACTAGCAAAAACAGGCACAAACACTGCTGAACTTCCAACCTCTTGTTTGTAAAAAGACTCCAACAAGCCCTCCAGTTGTCTCTACCCACACTCTGCTTCACCCCTCCTGGATGCACTGCAAAGACTCATTTTATTGCATTTGGCTCAGATGTGTTAGAAAAATGCTGTCACGTCATAAAGACTTTTCACCTGCTCACCTGTAACTGCTGCTTTTCTTGGAGAAGCCAGTCTCGCCTGGTGATGGACACTCGCAAACTGTCCTGAGCAGCGGCTCCCGACATCTGTGGATCCATTCTCAGCCGGGCTTGGGGGTCGTCACCGCCAGCTCTTAAAACAGACACACATGCACACACACACACATACACACACACATATAGGCACAGATATGAATGACCTGAAATTTTCAGGTCTACATGAATCTTAATGAAAAGAAGAGTGACAAAGTGGCTCCTGGCTGCCCTCATCCTTAGAAGGGTCACAGGGATGAGGTCCCAGTGTATGCTTTTGTTTGAATGATAATCTGTTGGGACTTTAGCAGTTGCCTAGAGTCACCTTGCTTTATTGGACTGCACACTGTCCGACTCCATAACTATGCATGTAGCTATCTGCACTGAAAGTGTAAAATACCCATCAGATATTAAAGACTTAGTATGAAAACAAAGAATGCCAAATATCTCATTAAGGATATTTTCACATTCATTACATGTTGGGATGACAACATTTTTGATACACTGGGTTAATTAAATGTATTTCTTAAATTAATTTCACTTGTGTTTTTTTTTTCCTTACCTTTATAAAATATGGATAGTAGGGACTTCCCTGGTGGTACAGTGGCTAAGAATCTGCCTGCCACTTCGGGGGACATGGGTTCGATCCCTGCTCCAGGAAGACCCCCCATGCCAAGGGACAACTAAGCCCTTGCTCTAGAGCCTGTGAGCCACAAGTATTGCACCCATGTGCTGCAAGTACTGAAGCCCACACACCCAGAGCCCACGCTGTGCGGCAAAAGAAGTCACGCAATGGGACACCCCTGCACAGCGACTAGAGAGCAGCCTCTGCTCGCCACAACCAGAGAAAGTCCAGCAGCAAAGACCCAGAACAGTCAAAACTAAATAAAAAATCTCTTTTTTTAATAAAAAATCTTAATGTAGCTACTATATTATTTAAGATCACATATGTGGTTTCCATTGAACATCATTGGACAGCTCTGCCTGGACCCATCCAGAGCCAAATTCCAGGGCAGATCTTGGCTGTGGACAAGACAGAGAGGGATGGCTGATTTGAAGATGTTTGGGTCAGAGCTTCTCAGAAAGAGTGTGCTAGAAGACTATCAAAAGACCACTTAAAATCTGTTCGGTTCTTTCTCCTACACTCACAGGAGCTGGCGTATTTGGTTGAAGCAACACTGGTGAAGATGTGGCTCAGGCTGCCACCTTACACGGGTGAGATGCCCTTGCAGAAACCTCGCAGGTGTTTCTCGTCAAAGGATGACAAATCAATTTCTAACTGAATGCAGTAGAATGGGGGGAAAGTCCACCCTAAGCAAAACTATGTCAACAATTCAAGGAAACAGTGTCTATGAAAGCACCATCGACTACAATTAAAAGGCAAACAACAAGTTGGGGAAAAGGAAATACTGCTAATGTCAAGAGTGCTAGCAATAGAAGAAGAAAAAGATGAGTACATCTATCAGAAACTCAAAAAAAAAAAAGAGAAATTATGAAGGTTTATCATCAAAAATGTTTCCAAAAGCAAATTCAAACAACATAAAATATCATTTTTCATGTAACAACTGACAAAAGCTTTCAGAAACCATAATTCCTTGGTGAGCACAGGGAATAAAAATTAGATCCAAAACATGCCTTTGGATCCTCTTGTCCAGGTTTTAAAACTTAGTTATAACAGAAAAAANCTGACTCATCGGAAAAGACCCTGATGCTGGGAAAGATTGAAGGCAGGAGGAGAAGGGGACAACAGGGGATGAGATGGTTAGATGGCATCACCAACTCAATGGACATGAGTTTGAACAAGCTTTGGGAGTGGGTGATGGACAGGGAAGCCTGGTGTGCTGCAGTCCATGGGGTCACAAAGTGTCGGACACAACTGAGTGACTGAACTGAACTGAATATGTAAATAATTATCCGCCTGCCGTGCAGGAGACTCTGGTTCAATCCCTGGGTCAGGAAGATCCCCTGGAGAAGGCAACCCACTCTAGAAAAATCCCATGGACAGAGGAGCCTGGTGGGCTAGAGTCCATGGGGTCGCAAAAGTCAGAGACAACTTAGCAACAAGCAACAACAACAATAATCATGGGTGTGCATAAAGAATAGCTACAAAAATACCACAGTCCTTAGTAGCCCAAACCAAAAACACTGCAACTGTGGCCCCGAGTTAGGACCAGAGCAGTAAGCCATGGTACATCCACCCCGAGCAGGGCTCTGCACCCACTAAAATTAGGTCAGCAAAGAAGATTAAATTGCATGGAAAATGTTCACTATTTATGGCTGTTTTCTAAAGCAGGCATTTGGCAATCCATATAGCATGGAACAACTATTCTAAAAATAACATATATTAAGTAAAAGATAGGAAAGTATCTGCCAAAATGTTATCAGTTTTTACCTCTGTGTGATGGAATTACTTCTTTTGGCCAATCTTTTATTTTCTAAATTTTCTATAATGAGCATGTATTATTTTTACACCTATAAGATATAAACAATAAAATGAAAGAAAGTCAATAAGATAATAAAAATGTCTTCTACCACATACACAAGTAGTTGTATCATTAAACATTCTAACATATCCAACCTTTTCCGGGCCTTGGACAAAACAGACATGTATGCACCAGAAATAAATCCGATCCATACTTTAACAATCAAGGGCGTCTTCCCGGCAGGGAAGCAGGTCGCGCTGATGGGTGTGAGGCATCAGCCACACTGTCTGCTCTTATGGGGCTTCCTTCCACACACCCTGAGCGTGGCTGCCACGTTGACCTCGGGGTCCCTCACACTGAAATGGGGGAAGTGTGTGTTCTGATTTGTACCTTCACGCAGGGTCACACAACCTCCATTTTTCTTAGGAAAGAAAGAGATTAGCTAATCCAAATATGTGTGGTTATTTTGTCCATTCCTTTTCACTCCTACCAATCTGATGCACTCATTCATTCATTCAGAAAAAGAAGAATCATTCTCAAGACCGTTTACTATGTGCCATGAACTGTGCTTGGGGCCATAGACACAGCAATAAACAAGGCGAGCAGAGGTGAGCGATAAACCACAGCCATGGACAAACGTTCCTCCCAAGGCTCAGACACGCTGCAGAAGTGGAAAGGTAGAGGCTATGCCCCCACATCCTACATCTTAATGTGGCCCTTACAAAACAAGGCCAGCCAAGCCCTGCAGTGAGGCAACCCTGACATTCTTAGAAACAGTGGTAGAAAACATGTCACCTAGGTTTCTCTAAGTTAAAAACCAGCAGCCTCAGAAAAGGGAGCCTTGCTTGCATTTCTGGGCCTGACACAGATTCAGACTCTGAATAATCTCTGAAGCTGCTTACTTATTGCAACATACCACGCAATTTAGAAGCTTATTTTAAGACTTGTTACTCTGTTTCATGTGTGTAAAGGCAAATTACAATGGCAATAGTAGTAATGAAAAAATTTAACTGGTAATAGCAAAATAATCCAGTATGAACTGAGAATTTACTGTCCAGCAAGTTATCAGTTTTGCCAACAAGGAAACAGAGCATCAGGGAGGCTTGAACAGGTTGCTCTGGTGTAACAAGCAGGACCAATGGGGGCCTTTCCAGAACAGGACGCCCCCTACCATGTCCTCCACCTCCCACTTGTCTGTAGAAACAAACTTTAGTGAAAGAATAAGTTTAACTGGAAAAAAGAAAATGCAGAAAGAAAGGAAAACAGTCAAGCAAAATAATAATAGCTTAGCCACTAAACTAAGTCAAGAAACTAGTTCCTCTTCCAGAGCTATAGATAATACTCTGAGCCATGTCTTTTGAGATGTTCTGCAGAGACTGAATCCTTCACCAGGTGGAAGAAGTTAACCGTATGATGCCCACAGGCATGTAGACCCCAGACCAGTTGGAACCAGAAGGTTGATGATGTTGACTCCTGACTACTTCACCACCAACCAATAAGAAGGATGTCCATGAGCTGATCACACAGCCCATAACTCCCCCTTCCTCGCCCTGTCTTTAAAACCCTTTCAAGGTCTTCAGGGAGTTCAGGGAGCGTTCAAGCCCTAGCTGCCTGGCCTCCTTGCTTGGTGCCTGCAGTAAACACTGCACTTTCCTCCACCACCGCCAGGCGTCAGCAGACTGGCTTTACTGCACAAGGGCGAGAAGGCCCAACACCACCCTTTTCTAGCCCTGTGTCCTTGGAGTTACTCACCCTAACCCTGCCAAACCTCTCTGAACCTCACCTCCCTCGTTTACAAAATGAGGATGATGGTGACGATCATGATGTCGACAGCTTCCTTCCCTGTACAGCAGATTACAGGGATCAAATCTATTCAACAAACAACCATTGAGTGTCTACTGTGCAGACTCTGCCCTCTCCTGGGACCTCTGTTCTCTGTCCTCGGGGAGCTGGCTGCACCCCCTCCCTGCCCACATCAGCGTTTGCATCAGGAGAATGAATGCTGTGATCACATCCAGTGGACACACTGTCCTGTTTAATGAAGAGTAAAGATGAGGTGTTTCTGACAACCTTTCCAGGTATCAGAAGCAGGGGTCCCCGGAAGGAAACCACATCAGTGATTGTGGGAATGGAACCCACTTCCTCCCCTGGACCCCAGAGTCTCGGCCTGTCCACCCAGCCTCTCTCTCGGAAGGGTGAACCTCAGCCCATCCCGTGCTGTTTATCCCCAGGGTCCAGCACTGGGTAGGATTTCACAAATATTTACTGAGTGACTTCATGAGTCCCTGGCCTAGAAAAATCCAGAAGCCATTTATATTCAGCTTTCTATCGCATGAGATCACTGCTTCACACTAATTTATTTCTCAATTTGCTCTGCTTATGCAAATATTAAGAGTTTCCTGAATTTCCTAAATAGATACCATCTGGGTTGGGACAGGAGTTATTGAAGGAAATCAACACAGAATTGAAAATGAACTGCAGGGGAGCGACAGGTGAGTAACTGGGAATTCTCCCATTTATCGTTAATCACATTCATTACTTAATTCTAAGAAAAACCCTTGTGATTCACCCAAACTCCTCTTCATGTCTCTCAGACTTTGACTCTGGGTGAAGAAGGCTGGGCACAGACGGCTGAGTGTGGTGGCCCCAGGACACGTGGCAGTTCAGTAATGAAGCCGGGGACGGGTTTGCATCTCAGCTCTGCAGTGCTCAGAGCAAGGCTCCCTGCTACAACATCCCACAGTGCTGTTCCCTTTATTCTAATAAACCTGAATGCGTAATCCCGAATGTCACTGCAAATTAGCTGTGCTGCTATAAACTGATCGGTATGGAAAATGAGCAAACCCCTCAGGGACAAGAATTAGAAACATGTGGGTTGCTATGTTAGCACAGCTCTCAGTGCCCGCAGGGAATCGGGGTGTCGGGGAACCCACCATCAGCCCCGAGTTCCAGCCCCTCAACTGTCCAGTGCTGGAAAATCCCTGGCCTTTCTACTTTTGTCTTTTCCACTAATCACTTAAAGAAGGATAAAAGCCATTTGTAAAATAAGTTCCCACACCACTGAAAACAGCATAGCTCCAAATTACACAGGAGAGCATTCTTCATCCCAGGGAAAACATCTGCCACCTGACTTGTTTTTTGGTTTTTTTCCATTTATTTTTATTAGTTGGAGGCTAATTACTTTACAACATTGCAGTGGTTTTTGTCATACATTGAAATGAATTAGCCATGGATTTACATGTATTCCCCATCCCGGTCCCCCCTCCCACCTCCCTCTCCACCCGATCCCTCTGGGTCTTCCCAGTGCACCAGGCCCGAGCACTTGTCTCATGCACCCAACCTGGGCTGGTGATCTGTTTCACCCTAGATAATATACATGTTTCAATGCTGTTCTCTTGAAACATCCCACCCTCGCCTTCTCCCAGAGTCCACAAGTCTGTTCTATACATCTGAGTCTCTTTTTCTGTTTTGCATATAGGGTTATCGTTACCATCTTTCTAAATTCCATATATATGTGTTAGTATACTGTAATGGTCTTTATCTTTCTGGCTTACTTCACTCTGTATAATGGGCTCCAGTTTCATCCATCTCATTAGAACTGATTCAAATGAATTCTTTTTAATGGCTGAGTAATATTCCATGGTGTATATGTACCACAGCTTCCTCATCCATTCGTCTGCTGATGGGCATCTAGGTTGCTTCCATGTCCTGAATATGATAAACAGTGCTGCGATGAACACTGGGGTGCACGTGTCTCTTTCAGATCTGGTTTCCTCGGTGCACCTGACTTGTGAGTGCAGAATTCAGTAATATTAAGAAAACACTGGCCTGGGAGTCAGCATTTCCTGGAAGGGTGCATCTGTGATGAGACCACCCGGCCTCCGCTCCCCTTCACGCCAAGGCTCAGAGCCCTCCAGGGCACTGCCTTTGCTCAAAGGACCACCTTCGGGAATGGCCAGAGTGACAAAGCCGAGGGGAGTCCAGACATCCCGCCTGCCAGGACACCCCGCGCCAGAACGGCTTATGGCGATTGTGTGGTTTATACAGCGGCACGTGTAACACAGAGGGTCTGTTTCCAGGCAGAAATGACGGTCACCACGATGCCAGGAAAACTGCCACCTGGTTGCCACTGCTGGAATCATAGAGGCTTCTCTAATGTAACTATTTATTTGTGTAGGGCGGATCTGGGTCTTTGGTGCCGTGAGGGCTTTCTCTAGTTGCAGCGTGCAGGCTGCTCACTGCGGTGGCATCTCTAGCTGCAGGGCACCAGCCCTGGGTGCACGGGCTCCAGCAGCCGCGGCTCATGGACTCAGCGGCTGCAGCTTTCGGGCTCCAGAGCACAGGCTCAATAGTTGTGGCACACATGCTTGGCTGCCCCGTGGCATGTGGGATCTTCCCAGATCAGGGATCGAACCCGTGTCTCCTGCATTGGTAGGCGGACTCTTTACCACTGGGCCATCTCAGAAGCCCCATGGAATCATAGTTTTAACTAAGCAAAGAACCAAAACTGATGCTCTCATTTCCACAGTGGGGAAAACTTCAGATCCAACAACCACTTCCGAAAACAAGACTTGAGTAAGACCTTCTGAACACTTTTGCCAACTGCTGCTTGTATCTGTCACTTATTCTATCAAATTTATGTCATCTGACATATGTGTTTCCATCTCTCCCTTGCTGGGAAGATGGTGATAAGGAAGTTGTTTGGGCCAGTCACTGAAGTGTGCTTTAAATCTGGAAATAGCTTCCTCAGCCAACAAACAGTGTCATAAATGATAGAGGCCACTCTGATGGCACAATCAAACATTGTAAAATTGTCAGAGATGATGCAGGTAGCTTTACGGTTCTGCCTTACGTATCTGATTGGGGTCTGAAAGTAAGGAGAGTGTAGTAAAACCCACACACCTTAGGGAAGAGGGCATTATTGGTTTCTAAACATAGAGATGACAGCCTTGCAGGAGGGCACATGGACATCTACTTGGGTTTATAGTA